TGTTAATTAATTGGACCGTGATCATCTCTATACAATACACATGAATATCAAATCATCTTGCTGTATACCCCAGATGTGTACAGTCTTTATTTGGAAAATCAAATAGACTTTTAAGTGTTTTTGAAAATATATTCATTGATAACAAAATTGAAAGTAAAAGCCTCATTGGGGGCTGTAGGCTAAAAGAGACTGAAGTTTAGCGTAGGTCAGCAGGGCTGGCTGAGGGACCTGGGCACCGGGGGTCATCAATTTCTATGGTATTCCCTCCACCAAACAAAACACTGACTCTCACAACAAACACAATGTACAGAGACAAGACATGGGAGCTTAGAGACACGGAGGGATGTCTGAAACTACTTGACCACAGGGGTCTCATTAACTCTGCCATCCCAGAGATACGAGAGGTCTGGGTGGCTGTGCAAAATCAGAAAACTATATGATCTTTATTGGACATGGCAGACTGTCTATTTGTTATTAGTCATTTTTCGACATGTTTTAAAAAAATATTTTCTCCAATGTAAATAAAACAATAGTTGTAATTACTGGACCAGTCGGCAATCAGAAAAAACTTTTAGGTTCGGCTTCTCCGAGATTGGGTTCAGATTCTCACTGAATGTTCCACACTCGGGGCATCACTAAAGCAAATGTGTCGCCTCATAAACTTCAGGAGCCATCAGTATAAATCCTGCATCAGACACAAGCGAAGATTCTGTGCTTGTCTGCGATGGGTGTCATTGCATTCTCCTTTGTTGGAACATGCTCACCAACTACAATCGAGACACCACTCTCGGTGATGAAGTACACTTCCAGCAAATGGCTGCTCATCAAGGGTGTCAGCTGCGGCATTTAATCACACAGGAGGAACCATTCATTTTCTCATGCACGTCTCTTTCTAGTAATCTCTTAATTATCTCACTTACTCCCGTATAAAAAGTGTGCTCAAATCTCAATTGAGTGGAAGATCTTAAGGAGTTTTAAAGTGTGCGTCTATGTCTCATTGAGAATTTCCCAAAGTTCAAATTTCTATGATGTAGGGAAAAGTATTGTGGGAACGGATAATACGACATCAAGGAAGCCCATTGTGAAAAAGGGGCAAATAAAACTGATTATCTACTGCCGCCATCAAAGTAATTTCATGTGTCTACTTCAGTCTTAAAAAATCTCTCAAAGCTGAAGAGAAGGCTCAGCAGTGTGTTCACTGCTCTTCTAGAGACTTGAGTGTGGTTCCATCATTGGGCAGCTCACACCCACTTGTAACTGCAGCTCTAGAGGATTCAACGCCCTCTTCTGGCTTCTGACAGCACACGCATGCGTGTGTGCATACACACAGGCAGGCACACACACACATACACATGTGCATACACATAGGCAGGCACACACACATACACATGTGCATACACACAGGCAGGCACACACTTACACATGTGCATACACACAGGCAGGCACACACACATACACATGTGCATACACACAGGCAGGCACACACACACATACACATATGCATACACACAGGCAGGCACACACACACATACACATATGCATACACACAAGCAGGCACACATATACACATGTGCATACACACAGGCACACACACATACACATGTGCATACACACAGGCAGGCACACACACATACACATGTGCATACACACAGACAGGCACACACACATACATATAAATTTTTAAAATATTCTTTTAGCTGAGCGGTGGTGGCGCACGCCTTTAATCCCAGCACTCGGGAGGCAGAGGCAGGTGGATCTCTGTGAGTTCAAGGCCAACCTGGTCTCCAAAGCAAGTTCCAGGAAAGGCGCAAAGCTACACAGAGAAACTCTGTCTTGAAAAACCAATATATATATATATATTCTTTTAAATCTTTCTAACTTTAACAACAATAACAACAACAAAAAGGCCTTAAGAATAACTAGGGCATAATCCTTCATCTCTACCCAGAACAGTGGTTGTCACTCTGGGGGTCACATATCAGATATCCTGCATGTCAGACATTTACATTATGATTCATAACAGTAGCAAAATCACAGTTATGAAGTAGCAGTGGAATAATCTTATGGTTGGGGTCACCACAACACAAGGAACTGTATTTAAGGGTCGCAGTGTTAGGAAGGTTGAGAACCACTGGCCTAGGATGTTCCCTGTGAAAGTGAGAGGCAGAATCTGAGAGCTTCTCACGCCATTAAGGTCACGTGACACAAGTGTAGCTTTTTCACTCATGAGGAAACTGAGAGCCGCAGCTCTTGGGCGGCTGCGGAGATCACACAGGTTGGATGTCGGAAACGCAGGACTGTGTTCACTGTTCACCTTTACTTCACACACACACACACACACACACACACACACACACACA